AGCACTCACCCTGAGGACTGTGTCTCTGGGCGTAGACAACGGCAGTAGCGGCAGCAAGCACAGCACAGCAGGCCCATGGGACAGGAACGGCCATCTGTTGGGAGAAATGGGGTAGTGGGGGAAGGGGCAGCATCAGCCCAGGCAGGAACCTCCTAGGGAGCCCCCCTACTTCTCAGGCAAGACTGGGAAATCCCAGCCCTAGGGCCAGGCACCTTGACCCCAAATGCCCTTCTTAATGGGGCTCAGGATCCTCTTTCAAGCAATAGAAAACAACATTATTGGCATCTGTAGGCGAAGGTTTGCTAAGACGGTAGAAAGCAACCTACAGTGGTTTATTGCTCAATAAGGCTGCTGGCTGCAGGATGTAGCCAACCGCGGATGAGTTATAGAACACTGGTAATGTTAGGACCATTTTTCTTAAAAAAAAAAACACAGAAAAAATTTACTGGTGAGGTTGGCTAATTAGCCATAAACATCACAGAATGAAAGGGTAATGTTTTAACTTAGTTGGAGGTCTATACTTCTCCAAATTGCCTTGAATGGAAGGTCCCTTGCTGTGCTCCTGGGAAAGAGCCCAAAACCTGGATGCTCAGGAGCCCCTCAGATCTGCCCCTCAGTGAGCTAGAGAAGAATGAGGGGTTTTCACATGTAGGTCCTTGTCAGGAATCTCAGCCCATCCGTCACCTTAGCCACATGCCCCAGGGGCCTGGGACGTGCAGCCCAGCAGATGTGCATCAGTGTCTACATACACCCATGTGGGTACATAAAGCACACTCAGAACATGTCCCCAGAGCCCAGGAAGGATCCGATTGTCCCCCTATTTGTTGTCCTGCTTCCTGGAATGGATCCAGCTGTCCCCCTCCAACCCCACCCCAGCACACACATCTGAGAGAAGGAAAATAACTATTTCCTGCAGAAAAGGCTCCAAATGTGATTCTCCCAACCCAGACTGAGGAGAGGGGGGACTGTCAACCAGACAGAAGTAGAGACCCAGAGAGGAACACTGCCAGACACTCAACCAGACACTGACAAAGGTGTAGCCAGACACACAGCAAAGACACTGGCCCGAGACACTGTCCAACACAGCTAAACAAAACCCTAAAGCAACAGCTTCACAAAGTTCGAGTTATATTGGGAAACTGTGAGGCAGAATCAGACAAAGCCAGAGAACAGCTGATACATAATCAAAGGATCCGCCAGAAACACTGTAAAAGACTCAGCCAGACGCAAGCCAACACAGCACCAGAGAAAGAGAAAGAGGTACAAGCAAAGAAACCATCAGCGACACAGCCAGAGAGTCAGAGACACTGTCCCAAACCATGCCAGAGAAACTGCCTGACACACAAGCAGAGAAACACCGGAGAAATTGATAGATACAAACAGGCATACACCCAGAAAAACAGCTAGAGAGAGAACCAGAGACATAGCCAGATGCTCAGCCAGGAAGTATCCACACCACTGAAAAACACTGCCAGGGACACTCAGACACACAGCCAGAGCCACTGTCAGAAATACTGCCAGAGACACTGCAGACAGCTAAAGCAGGAGGAGACAAATGTGGGTGTCAGCCTGTACCAGTGGGTGGGGCTCCTTAATGGGAAAGGGCTCCTGCCTGCCTGTTGCTATACTTGCCTCTCACCAGGCAAGTCACCCCACCTGCCCTGGTTTTCCTCCAGCCACAGCCATAGGTGCTCTCACTGCTCCACCCTGGCACAGCTCATCTCTCTAGGCCCCATATGGCCTTGGCTATCCCTCCCATGTCAGTGGCTCCTGCAGCCTTAGCTACCACTTGGCCTGGCTCCTGACCCTCAGTCACTTCCCCATCTTCAGCTACTCCTCAGGTCTAGGAGACAATGGCCAAAGTCACAGTCAGCAAGTAGTGGGGCCAGGAAATGAACCCAAAACTGTCTGAATTTAGAGCTAGCACTAGAGAAAGAGACAAGAGCTGGTTCCCCACCTCCACCCTTGCAGGTAGCCCTCAGACCCATCCCCACCCCCACCATCTCTGCCATCTGCCTGTCTTTCGCCTCATAGCCAGGAAAATACTCCACCTCAGTGCCACCCACTGCCCACCACATGGAAGCAGGAACCTTGGCATGGGGAGGCAGCTGGGCAGGCAGAGAAGATGGAGATTAGATCACAGGATGGGAAAAGAGGGACAGGGTGACCCTCTGCTCCTAGCTCCTTCCTGGTCCTGATTTTGGAGGGTGGGCAGGGGTGAGGAGAGGGCCTGGCATGGGTGTCATGCATATAAGCACACACACACACACACACACACACGCACACACACTTGGGCCCCTGCAGGGGGAGGGGTGGCTTCTTCATCAAAGTCGCCTCCATCAGCCCGATGAGTTACTGTAAGGGCCGGGCCCTGGGCCAACGGGGCTGCAGCCTTGGGAGACAGGCGCTGCTGAGAGTGAGCACTGCAGAGAGTGGGGGATGGGGTACCAAGACAGACACGGCATGATTGGGGTACCCAGAAAAGGGAGAGATCCAGGGAGGTAGGAACACCAAGGCAGGGAGAGAAGGAGAGCCATGAGTGGAGACCCAGAAGGACAAGAAGGGACCAAAATAGGGAGAAATGGAAGAAAAGACTTAGGAAGAGAGATGAGGAGCATAGAAGATGGGCAGAGATTCAAGGGCAGGAGAGACAGACCTAGAGAGAATGACAGAGACACTGGCAGGGTCTCTGTGCCCACCCTAGAACATCTCTCTAAGTCCACTCAGCTCCTCCAATGTGAGGGACAGTGTCAGTGTAGCAGTCCTGGCCAACACGAGTCAAGAAGAGCAGGGCCTTCCTGAGGACTGTAGGACTTCTCTTTGGGGATCCAGTAGCCCAGGCCCCAGGGGATCCAGTAGCCCAGGCCCCAAGGGTAGACTAAAAACCCCACCCCAACTCTCTGCCATAAATCCAGAAAGCCCCAGGCCAATTTCATTTTCCCCTTCCCTTAGAGTCCCAGCTGGGCCCATTCTCAGGTAGAGAAGCTGAGGCCAGAGGCATCCAGGCTACACCTCCACCCTGCCCTCGCTCACCTCACAATGCCCATCCCAGGGCAAAGAGCATCTTTTCCCAGGAATTTTCTGAGTCCACACCCCATGGCTCTGGGGTAGATCTGGAGGATAAATCCCACAAAGTCCCAGATAAGGGCCAAGCAAACTGACCCAGTTTCCCTATAGACGCCTCCAGGGGCCAGCCTGGCCTCCAGCCCCAGCTCCAGAATGAAGAGGGAACAGAGGGCACACCAGGAGCAAGAAAGGAGCCCAGTGCCCAGCAGCCCAAACCCCTTGTTAGCACAAGGAGCCCAGCACTTCTCCTGGCAGAGAACCCAAGTGTCATCGTTATACACACACAACTGACACATCAAGAGACAAATCCTGGCCCCCCAACTTACTATCACTGTTCCACTGTGACACAAAGACACACTTCCACATTGAAAACAACACCCAGTATAACAAGACCGAGCTGTATTGTTGACAATGACACATGGGCGATGACAGTCACTACAATGACAAATGATACAGTGAGTGACAGTCACATACAATGACACCAACAAACAAGGCACTGATACCTGTTGACGTTGACACATTGTGACAGTAACCTCAAAATCAAAAATGCAATGAGACTGACAGTCAAATAGAGTAACAATGACGGTGACATTCACAGTGCTATAGGAATGTTAATAAGACTCAGTAACAGTCTCCAGTAATACTGGCACCATGGAGGCTGACAATCATCAGCAGTGACAATGACAGATACAAGTGACAGGCTCCAGATTAGGAACCTTGGTTACCGAGGGTCTGAGTCTGGCTTAGGATCCAGGACCTCAGATCCCTCTTGCTGTCAGTGGTGTTTGGGGTGGTGTCTCCAGAGATAACCTCTGGCCAGAGACAGTGCTCTGGCCCCCAATTCTTGTCTTGCTTATAGGAATGAATTCAAACAAGAGACAACAAATGGCAGCAAAAGCAGGCGAGGATTTATTTGTAGGAAAGAAATACACTCAGATAGAACCTGAGCAGGCAACTCAGCCAGCCAAAACCAAACCGAGTGCCCCAATATTTGGAAGTTTAGAGGATTTATACCCCTAGGTTGGACTATCCCTAGGCAAGGAGCAAGTCATCCCCTCCCTCATATCTCAAAAAGATATATCTTCAAACTACAATGCTTCTTCACCTAGATGTTACGCACCAGTTAGGGGCTCTGAATCTTTCTTCCTCACATAGGGGCCTGCCACCTCCATTGTCTATTTTTAATTTGTCGCGTCTCACACATACTTCCTCCAAGCCCCAGCTGCCTCTCCCAGTTCATATCTTTATCTGCCTACTCTAACATTGCCAGCCCCAGCAAGGTTTCAGTTGCCCTGCGGCCCCCACCCTTAGCCCCTGCCCAGCTGAAGGCAGAACCTGAGGAAGGGGAAGTGTGAGTTCTGGAAAGCCTCTATTCATCTCTGCAGAAGCAGACAGTTCAGGTTATACAAGCCCAACATGGGAGGTTCTGAGCACCACTGACCATGGCCCAGTTCTAACTGTGTATTTGTTGATGTGCCACAAACTGTGTTCTGAGCTTCAGGGTGGCGTTGGTTGGCATGGTGTGCTTATGTTCAGATAGGCTCAATCTGGTCTGGACAATGAATGAGCAGGGAGGCCTCATGTGGTGGTGCCTCCAAGAAATTGAGATCCTGTGAAGCTGACTGGCCTGGACTCCACCTCTCCCCTGGCCCCCTGGCCCACAGCTGGGTGAGGTCAGAAATATTCATCTGATGGAGGGCAAATGACCCATGGCAGGCCCAAGGTGACATCTCCACAGCTTCCAGTCCCCCTTTGCAACTGCAGACTCCAGAATCCCTCTGTGAAAGAAAAGGCACTCTGTCCTGGGGCCTTGTTCCCTTCTGCTCTCCCCACAGCAGCCCTAGAGGGTCCGTCCTGAACTCAGGAGAGGACACAGCATGAACTAACTGATTCAAAGGCCAGAGAAACTCTTGAGGCCTCAGATCTAAAGATGAATTAGAGTGGAGTGAGGAAGAGACACCTACACTTGGACATGGAGAGAAAATGAGAGACAGAGCAGAGGCAGAGACAAGGACAATGACAAGGACG